AAAAAAAAAAAAAAAAAGTAAATACATTAGATCACAAAGAAAACATCCTCAGTCCAAAGGAAGCCTAAGTGCACAAAACAATAACTTGATTAAGGGATTGAAAATATAATTATTCACAGTAGTTCCGCAATACTGGAGGCCTTAGCTTTGGTATCTGCATCTTATTTTACAGTCATTCTCTCTATAGCTGGCTGCCTCATCACAAGGTAAATATGGAAAGGGAAAATGGGGAAGTATTTTGTGAGAAAAGTTTTAATATTTAAAATTAGTATTCTAAATAGGTTTTAATTGGAATGACAAGGTCACATTAAAGTTTGCTAAAAAGAGAAAAGAGGATTACCTGTGATCCTATGCTATTTACATGGCGTCTCTGACCTTGTGAGGACACCACACGCGCTTTAACCGTCTGTATTACTGTCATCAACTTTCCCACATATTGGCATCATATAATGGTAACAGAGCTTTGGCTCTGAAGCTCAAATTCCAACTCTTCAATTTACTAATTCTAGGATTAGTAAGGTTTGGACTAACAACCTAAGTTTTCAGATACTCAGTTTTCTCATCTGTATAGTGAGAATATTAATAACATCTCTTAGGTTTTGGTTCTAAGAAACAAAGCAGATGGTGATATAATGAGCCTAATACAATGCCTGACACCAAATCATTCTCTTCCTCCAGTTATCAGATCCTTTTATTATAAATATGATCACATTACTCAAAAAGGGAAAGAGGCACCTATAATTCAATTTCAAAAATGTAATTACTGGCTCTGCGCCTGTGGCTCAAGCGGCTAAGGAGCCAGCCACATACACCTAAGGTGGCGGGTTCGAATCTAGCCCAAGCCTGCCAAAAAACAATGATGGCTGCAACCAAAAAAAAATAGCCAGGCATTGTGCCGGGCACCTGTGGTCCCAGCTACTCGGGAGGCAGAGGCAGGAGACTCGCTTGAGCCCAGGAGTTGGAGGGTGCTGTGAGCTGTGATGCCACAGCACTCTACCCAGGGCAATAGCTTGAGGCTCTGACTTAAAAAAAAAATGTAATTACTAAAATCATTTTGGGATCATCCAGTGAAGACTCTTTCCCTTTGGGTATTTATTCTATTTTATAAGAGTACAATGCCTGATTTCTAATTTCTCTCTCTTTTTTTTTTTTGAGACAAGAGCCTCAAGCTGTCGCCCTGGGTAGAGTGCCACAGCATCACAGCTCACAGCACCCCCCAACTCCTGGGCTCAAGCGAGTCTCCTGCCTCCACCTCCCAAGTAGCTGAGATTACAGGCACCCGCCACAGCGCCGGCTATTTTTTTGGTTGCAGCCGTCATTGTTATTTGGCGGGCCAAAGCTGGATTCAAACCTGCCAGCTCAGGTGTACATGGCTGGCGTCTTAGCAGCTTGAGCCACAGGCGCCAAGCCTGATTTCTAATTTCTTCATGGGACAAAATCATGTCAACTCTTCCAAGATTTGAGGTGTTACCACAAATGCAACTAATTTGGTATCTCCTTTGCCCAAGTTACAGAGCAGGGCTTCCAGGGCTAGGGATGGTGGTCCTGCCTCCCCTCTTTGTCTCTGGTTGTCCTCAGGGATACTCTTCCCTTTAGGCAATTGCCATGCTTCCTGGGGGTGGACGGTCCCCTGCCAGGGAACTCAAGATGGTGAGGAAGCTGGTCATCTACCTCAATCTCACATTTTCCAGTGTAGAAACCTCAAGGCAGGGGACATCCTCTGCATGCTTGGTGCTGGACACAGTGGGGGGGGGGGGACACAGGATTCTGATTCTCCTATCGTCTTCTTGGCACTATTCCACCTCTCTGTGGCCCTAGGAACTGTCTCCTCCTCCCCTGGAGCTCTGGGATGTTGCTGTTGCTGGTCTCCACACTGCACATCTGTTGGTGGTTTCCTACAGGGGAGGGTGAAGCCAGCCTGCTTCTATACTGCCATTTTGGAACCAGTGAAGAACCACCACTTTCAGACAAGAAATCTGTCATTCAAATCATTGCTCCTCCTTTGCTAATATGCCATTTCTTTTTGGCTGCTTTCAAAATTTTTTTTAGTTGTCAAAAGTTGGATTTTCATGTGTCTTGTATAGATTTCTTTGGGTTTATTCTTTTTGGGGTTCACTTAGCTTCTTGGATTTGTAGTTCTTTTGCTAACTTGGTGGAATTTTAAGGCACTATTTCTTCAAATATTTTTTCTATCCCACACTTCTTTTCCTTTCCTTCTGGAATTGCAATAACACAAATGTAGATCTTTTTTTATTGTTCCTCAGGTTTCTGCGGCTCTTCTCTCTCTCTTTTTTTTGTTCTATTTTCTCTCTGTTGTTCAGCTGGGTAATTTTCACTGATTTGTCTTTGAGTTCACTGATTATTGCTTATGTCAGTGGTTCTCAAACTGTGGGTCACGACCCCTTTGGGGGTCAAGTGACCCTTTCCCCTTTCACAGGGGTCATCCAAGACCATCAGAAAACATGTATTTCCAATGGTTTTAGGAACTGAGACACCGCTCCTCATGCGTGGGGGTCACCACAACATGAGGAACTGTATTAAAGGCTCACGGCATTAGGAAGGTTGAGAACCACTGGCCTATGCCATCTCCAATGTACTACTGAGTCCATGCAGTGAGTTTTTAAATTTTGATTTTTATATTTTTCAGTTCTATACTTTCCATTTGGTTCATTTCGTCTATTTCTTTGCTAAGATTTTGTTTTTTTCTATTATTTCAAGAGTGGTCATAATTCTTCATTTTTGATTGTAACATTTTTATGACTGTTGCTTAAAAACCCTTGTCATGCAATCGAGTCATCTTGGGTCTTGTCATCGCTTGTTTTTTCTCATGCAAGTTATGACTGTCCTGGTTCTTGTATGATGGGTTATTCTTGACTGTGTCCTGGATATTGTGGGTATCATATTCTGAGACTTTGGCTTCTACTTAATCTTTCAGCACCAAGTCACCCCTTTTGTTTTAATGCATAAAGTCTGAATGGAGTTGGAAGTCAGCTCCTTGCTGGGCTCCCCTGACATCACCTCAGCAAAAGCAGAGGGCCAGGTGGAGGTGCCCTGGTAAGTTCGGCTTATTACTAGACTCTGCTGACACTAGTATTGGGGCAGGAAGGAGTGAAGCACTGACTAGCACTGCCTCGTCCTCCTTGTTACTACCAGATAGGACTGAAAATTTAGCTCCCCTCAGGCTTTGCTCACACCACACCAGAAAAAGTGGGGCACCAGCTTGTACCATTTCTTATTACCTTGTTGCTGCTGGATAAAGGCAGAGGTTCAACTTTCTGCTCTATCCTTGCTGACGCCACTTTGGTAGGGTAAACGGGACCCCTGACATTCTAATGTGGAAGATCCAGGACAGGGCTGAAGCACAGACATTCTTAGTAAGTCTTCTAGATGACTGATTCATGGCCAGTTTTAGGAAGCACTGCTTCAGGCTGTCTCATATTCCAGATATAGATGGTCTCTGGCTTATGATGGTTTGATTTTATGATGGTTCAAAAGCAATACTCATTCAGTAGAAACTGTACTTTTAGTACTCACATGACCCTTCTGTTTTTCACTTTCAGTACAATATTCAATAAATTACATGAGATATTCAGCACTTGCCTATAAAATAGCTTTTGTATTAAATGATTTTGCCCAACTGCAGGCTAATGTTAAGTGTTCATTAACACTTAAGCATTGTTTAAGGTATGCTAAGGTATGATGTTTGGTAGGATGGGTGTATTAAAAGCATTTTCAGCTTTTTGTATTTTCAACTTATGATGGACTTACTGGGACGTAAACCCGCTGTAGGCAGAGAAGCATCTGTATGACCATCTTATATTCAGCACTTATATGCAACATACTGTGTACAGATTCACTATATTTCATTTCTGTGCCAAGAAACCACCACCCTTAGTATCATACTATGTCTCATTTGTCTCCATAGCCAAGGGCTTAAAACTCAACAAATATTTGTTGAGGGCAGTGCCTGTGGCTCAGTGAGTAGGGTGCCGGCTCCATATACCACAGGTGGCGGGTTCAAACCTGACCTCAGCCAAACTGAAATGAAAAAATAGCTGGGCGTTGTGGCAGGCGCCTGTGGTCCCAGCTACTCAGGAGTCTGAGGCAAGAGAATCACCTAAGGCCCAAGAGTTGGGGGTTGTGAGCTGTGATGCCATGGCATTCTACCGAGGGTGACAAAGTAACACTCTGTCTCTAAAACAACAACAACAACAATTTGTTGAGTAAACTAAAAGAAGCATAATTCAGACTTTTTGATTAAATAATGATACTTGCATTACAGTATGGCATAATCTAAACAAGGCTAAAGATATTAGAGCAGCACTAAAGTGTGCTTCCTAGACTAGGGCTGTGTAAATGAATTGGTCTGTAACAATTTAAATGCAGAAATTGAAAGTAAATTTTAGAAACTTCTAGAATAGCTTGCCAGAACTCTGTTAAGTCTAATAAAAAATTAGAGCTTATAAATTAGAGCTTACTAAATTGTGGCTAAATACATAGAATGTAAAATTTGCCACCTTAACCATTTTTCAGTGTATGATTCAGTGGCATTAAGTACTTTCTCATCGTTCTGTAACCACCACCACTATTCATCTCTAGAACTCATCTTGCAAAACCGAAACTCTGTCCCCATTAAATAGTAACTCCTTATCCCTCCTCCTCTCAACCCCTAGCAACCACTTTTGTGCTTACATATGTATATCTTTTTTAAAATTTCATCTTTCAAGTAATTCATTTTTATTTTATGAATACTTTAATCTGCAATGGGTTAGAAATTAACACAAACAGATTCTTCTCCACCATGTGAGAGCTCAGTATCAGCCTGTCCAAGTTGAACTTACCAGCTGCCCTGTCTGCAGTGCGTAAGTGTTGCCTCGAATCACCCTTCTGTCATACATTATGTTTCCATAACGAACAGGTTCATCATCTCTGTAACACAGAACCTCCAAGTAAGTACCCGATAGAGTGTTGGTATCTATAAAGTAAACTCATTTTCAATAGGATTTAGACTAAGGTGAAAATATTTCCAGAAAAAAAAATATATGTATATTTAATTCTTTCTTCTTCTTTTTTTATTTTTTCCTGCAGTTTTTGGCCAGGGCCGGGTTTGAACCTACCACTTCTGGCATGGGACCGGTGTCCTACTCCTTGAGCCACAGGCACCACCCAAGAAAATATATTTCTGTTTTAGTGTGGTCCAGGTGTGGCCTGTGGGCCACATGCAGCCCACCTAGGACATTAATCAGGCCCATCAGGTGTTTTTGCCGCCACTGCCTGTCCTGCTTAGCAGCTGACTCGTGCTGGGGCCAGCAGTCTGGCCCTCCAACAGTCTGAGGGACAGTGAACTAGCCCCCTGTTTAAAAAATTTGAGGACCCCTGGTGTGATCCATAAAATGAGATAAATAGCTACCATTTACGTATATGCTTACTATATGCCAGGTTGTTCCCAGATGTTATTTTATTCATTGCTCACAATAAGCTTCAAGTTGGGAACTATGATTCCTGCTATTTGACAGAATAAGAAATAGACTCAGAAATCTACCTAAGGTCACCCCGGGGGTAAGTGGCAAATCTAGATTGAGGCTGTAATCTTCACTACTTAACACATGTGAAAATGCCTTGCCTTAAAGGACAGCAAAAAACGAATTCAAAGATTGAAGTTTTTTTTTGTTTGTTTTGTTTTTTTTTGAGACAGGGCCTCAAGTTGTCGCCCTGGGTAGAGTGCTGTGGCATCACAGCTCACAGCAACCTCCAACTCCTGGGCTCAAGCGAGTCTCCTGCCTCCACCTCCCAAGTAACTGGGATTACAGGCACCCGCCACAATGCCTGGCTATTTTTTGGTTGCAGCTATCATTGTTGTTTGGCGGGCCCGGGCTGGATTTGAACCCACCAGCTCAGGTGTATGTGGCTGGTGCCTTAGCTGCTTGAGCCACAGGCGCCGAGCCAAAGATTGAAGTTTTATACACGCACCCACACACACATATAAATATGTGTTTTTTTTTTTTTTTTTTTTTTTTTTTGGTTGCAGTTTGGCTGGGGCCGGCATCCTACCCACTGAGCCACAGGCGCCACCCTAAATATGTGTATTTTTTTGGGACAAAGTCTCACTCTGTTGCCCTGAGTAGAGTGCTGTGGCAGCATAGCTCACAACCACCTTAAACTCTTGAGCTTGAGCAATCCTCTTGCTTTAGCCTCTTGAGTAGCTGAAACTATGTGAGCATCTATATTCATACATTTGAAATGAAATGTGATCATGGAGAAAAGTACTGAAGCCTTCACACAGGTTGCTAACGTGTTTATCCTGGGGCAGGAGAGGAAGAGCAGGCTGCAAAGGAGGAGGGTAGTCTAAAAGGCTGCCCTAGAAATGCTCCCAAATATGAGTAAGTTCATTTATATAGAGTTAAATATGTATGTGCATGTATACGTAAAGAAATTAGGGGGAAAAAGAGATTTTGAGCTTATTAAATAGTGGGAAAAGCCAAGTCTAGAATAATACATGTAGTATGAATCTATTTTGGAAACAAACCTCCTATGTATATATATATATATTCATGTATGTGTATACAAGCTAAATTGTCTAGAAGAAAAACGTAAGATTGTTGGGAGGCTGGGGCAGGATGACTTTAGCTCAGGAATTTAAGGTTGCAGTGAGCTGTGATGACTCCACTGCATTCCAGCATAGGCAAGAGAGTGATGTAAAAGCAGATTATTTTGGATATAGTCATCTAGTCACTTATAACCAAGTGTGGCTAATCGTACTAGGGTTTGGATTCAGGATGACTAAAAGTTAACTAAGAGGGGTCACCCGTGCCCCTTCTTGCTTCACACCACGGGAGAGTTCCTTACGGCAGAAATTTCATTTCGGCAGAGTGTAGATAAGGGAAAGGTGCATAGGCAGCTTTTGCCAGGTGAAGATGGGGTGCAAGTGGAGACCACATAGGGGTTGGTTTGGCCACTCACGACTGTGTCAAGCTGTCCCGGTAACGACGGCGCTGGCAGGGCAGCGCCCGGGGACGGCTGGTATAGGTGTAGCTGTTCATGGCTCGAGAGGTGCCGTCGGTCAACGCAGAGGCCATGTCTGGGGTCGGACTGCCTCGCCTTCGGTGGAGCTTGGCTTTGAAGCAGGTGGGCACTAAGGTGTCGTAAGAGTCCGAAAGATGTAAGTAATGCCAAGGACAGCGATTCCGCCACGCGCGGAGAGGCGGCAAGGAGGGAGGCGGGCGGGACGGGAGGTCTCCGGGGCAGGCGGCGGGGGCTACACTTGGTTTGCTCCAGGGAACACGGGATCCGTCCGCCGCGCGCGCAGCGGTTGCCCAGCAACCCACGGTTCCATTTGGGGGCGGGACCTCTACGCAGTTCCGGTCGGCGGGTTTCCCGGAAGGGACTGAGGCGCAGGGCACTTCCGGCTCTTGACCTGGCCAGTCTGCTCTGGTCCTACAAGTGCGCGTGCGTGGTGGGAGATCTCTGGCCCCAGAGTTGGGCCTGACGGTATTCGTCGAGGCCTGCGAGACACCGGCGGCTGGTTCCCGACCCTTCTGGAATGTGGCCTTGCAGGGATGGTGTCGGCGCCATTCTCGCAGGCCCACGTTCTCCTGTTCTTCCAGGGGCGTGCTCGATTGTTGCTCTTCCCGCCACTGCTGCCGCGCTCGCGGGCCGCCTCTGGGTGACACAGCCGTGGCAGCTCGGCTCCCAGCTCTGTTACGTGCCTGGGCGGAGAAAGTGCTTCCGAGCCTCTCCTGGCTCCTTACCTTTCCCGCCCTAGGGGCTGGCAGACGCCGCCCTCTGCAGCCGAGGCTGTGCGTCTTCCCGCCTTCTCTGCTGATAGCTCGGCCATAGCCACAGCCAGGACCCTGGGCGCGTGGAGTGGCAAAGGGCCAGCCCACAGGCTTCTAATGTGGGGAGAGCGGGGGCAGTTTATAGAGTCTTTTTTTTAAAAAAGGCAAAGTTTCCCTATGCCTTAGACATCAGGCCCCAGGCTCTGAAGAATGACACATGGTGGACCTGTGCTTTAAGCGCGGATGCTTTGATTTTAGTGCTAGCAATGTTAAAAATCTTGTGGTTTGTGTAAGTGAAGTGTATGCGTCCCTATAATCAGGTAGTTGCACTTACAGTTACATCTTCAGTTCAGCTCAATGCTGCCTTGATTTGAATCCACATTCTGTAGTGTGTTAGTGTTGCAGGAAGATGAGGCCCAACTGTGAGAAAGAGCACCCAAACACCAAGTTTGTAAGAGGAAGGGCTTTATTCATTGGCTGGGAGCTTACAGCATAGATTTCCAAATGGCCGTGCTCTCTGACTGGCTTGGTCTTTCTCCTTTTTTTGACAGTCAAGAATTCCCACCCTACAGGTATCCTTCCCGTTGGCCAGTTTGAATCAAGCTGTAGATGCTAGTCTAGCCCCTACAGAAATACAGGATTTCACAGAACTTGGAAATTTACAGGTTCCAGGAAGTTAAATCTACAAATTCCCAAGAGTTGAGTCACCATGGAGAGGACCCTGCAGGTGCATCCTTGTGGTCTCCCTGAGAAGACCTGTTCTCCCAGACCTCACCCTTCTTGGGTATCCTCTCTCACTAGCTCTGTAACCTCAGTCAAAAATGTTTTTGTGCTTCTTTTTCCTAACCTGCTAGTGGGGGAATGATAGGATGTTACTCTTAGGATTTGTTGTGAAGATTAAAAGCATTAATAAAATAGAAAGTACTTTGAACTGTGCCTGGTAAATGTTAAGCCTTTGTATTAAGATCGGGACTCCTCTGCTTTGAAGTTGTCAACCTTAAATAAGGAGATTCAGAAAATATTACGAATAGAGTGTATCTGAGCCCAAAGATTGAGGGTAGCCACTTCAAGCATAGGTTCAAGTTGCCCTGAAAATATGCTGAGATTAGCAGCAATTGCGAGTGGACTTTTGAGCTAAAAAGTAGAGGCAGTTCCTAAATTGTCATGAAGAATTTGCCTTAAAACAACATAAGCTGTTGATTACCTGTGCATTGTGCTATAGAAATCCCAGGAACATGAAGATAATGTGTGGGGCAGCTAGTTAGAGAGAAAATTCCTTTTTTTGGAGACAATCTCATTCTGTTGCCTTAGACTTGAATGCTGGGGTGTCAGTCTAGCTCACAGCAACTTGAAACTCCTGAATTCAAGAGATCTTCCTGCCTCAACCTTCCTGCGTAGCATCTGTCACAATGCTCAGTTAATTGTTTTCTATTTTAGTAGAGATGGGATCTTGCTCTTCCTCAGGCTGGTCTCGAACCCCAACGCAACTCCACCTCCCTCTTTTGCCTCCCAGAGTGCTAGGATTATGGGCATGAGCCATGACAAAATTCCTTTAAACTATCTCAGCCCCACCTCCCACATTTGGGTGTATATACTGGGTAGTGGAGGTGGGAAGGGTTGTACTCATGTCTCTGTGGGTCTCTGTGCATACCTCACATAGCTCAGAATACTCTGGGCTATTTTTCTTTTTTCAAAGCTTATGGTCTAATGCAGGTGTAGGGTTTGTGTAAGTAACACTAACATACAGGTGCCTCATAAATGTTAGAAGTAAAAATGTAGTGGAAGATTTTAGATCTGATCACTTAATTTTGAGTTAATTTATGAAAGGGACAGAAGTGATATTGAAATAGTGTTTGATAAATGATAGTATTTTGACATGGGGGAAGAGCATTCTGAATGGCTTGATCACCAGCTAAAACTCAAAAGATGTACTTGGAGTACTAAGATGAGTGAACTGAGTTGTGGGAATGCCTATAGAAAGAGATTGGTACATATCATGGAAGCACTGAACACTTTAACCTCAAGTAACAGAAGACGTGTTGTTACTGAACCAAACGGAGTCTACTTACTGGTGCGGCACAGCCAGACACTGAAGCTGAGAATGGCAGTGGGAGAAAGAGGCATTTTTCTTGTGCGGCACTGTTGCCAGAACTGCTAGGCGAGTTCAGTCTAAGTCTGGTTGCTGTTTCTCACACAAAGATCCAATTATTGAGACACTGAGGATTGAGGATTGCCAAGGAAGAAAGGAATTTTAAATGTACAAGATGTCTTGTCTGGACAACAAGAGAAGCTGCATCAGACTTGTTTTTCTGACTAATGAAGATCACAGGCTTCTAAAGGAGGGATTGTCAGGTGTGACGTACCAAATGTCAGGTCTGTGTTCCTGGTTTCTGGGTGACCAGTACAGAAGAATGATTCCTGGTAGTGAGTCAACAGATTAAAAGAGCAGATGTAAGCAGTTAAAGTGCCAAGATTTATGAAAACATAGTACATTCCAGGAAGGGAATGTGTCTATCCCCAAGAGCAGAGTAGGCTCTGAGTTTAAAGAGAGAATAGGCTCGGCGTTTCTATCTCAACTGGCTAAGGCGCCAGCCACATACACCTAAGGTGACGGGTTCGAATCCCCAGCCCGGACCCGCCAAACAACAATGGCGGCTGCAACCGGAAAATAGCCGGGCCTTGTGGCCGGCACCTGTGGTCCCAGCTACTTGGGAGGCGGAGGCAGGAGACTCGCTTGAGCCCAGGAGTTGGAGGTTGCTGTGAGCTGTAATGCCATGGCACTCTACCCAGGGGGACAGCTTGAGGCTCTGTCTCAAAAAAAAAAAAAAAAAAAAAAAAGAGAGAATAAAAAGGATGGTACACACTCAAAGTCAGTGTAGGGAGGACTGCTCCAATAAGTAACAGCAGCCCTCCATGGTTAGGCTCCGGTCCTTCATGCTAATTTTTAACAATATGTTAATCTGGAGTTGAATATTCATGAATTTCCTGGGAGAGGGAAGAGTTCCCTTTCCTGACCTTATAGGATAACTTTCCAGAGTTGCCATGGCATTTGTAAACTGTCCTTGCTCTGGTGGGTTTTTATTTCTCGTTTCAGCTTTTACCGTTATTCCTGTGAGAGAGTCTGTCGGATTAAAGCTACTCAGTCAGAGCTGAAGCCACACCAAGGCTGTTGACCAGAGTAATGGGAAGAATGGAGTTGCCATTTAGCGGATGGGAAACATTGGGACGAGCTGTTTGGGGTGAGCATTAGAAGCTTGGTTTGGAGCACAGTAAGCTTGAAAGGCACCTTAGTCATCTGAGTGGAGATGGTGAGTAGACAATTGGACATGAAAGTCTAGAGTTTCTGGGGACTGGTCCAGAGTGGAGGTGGGGATTTTTGAACCAACAGCATTCAGCAGTCCATTTAAAGCCAATGGACTAGCTGGGCCCAGTGGCTCACACTTGTAATTTTAGCACTCTGGGAGGCTGAGGCGGGTAAATTGCTTGAGCTCATGAGTTTGAGACCAGCCTGAGCAAAAGTGAGACCCTGTCTCTAAAAATAGCTGGGTGTTGTGGTGGGCGCCTCAATAATCACGTGAACCCAAGAGTTTGAGGTTGCTGTAAGCTGTGATGCTTACTCTACTGAAGGCGACAAAGTGAGACTCTGTGTCAAAAAAAAAAGACAGAAGTCAATGGACTTGATGAGATTACCAAGGGAGTGTGGGACTCTTGAGAGAAGAGAGACAGCCCCTCCTCTACCATTTTTGAGACCCAGTCTGTATTGTCCAGGCTAGAGTATGGTGATGTCAGCCTGGCTCATAGCAACTTCAAACTCCTTGGTTCAAATGATCCTTCTGCCTCAACCTCCCGAGCCGCTGGGAGGGGTCTACAGGCACCTGCCACGCCCAGCTAGTTTTTCTATTTTTAGTAGAGATGTAGTTTTGCTCTGGCTCAGGCTGGTCTCGAATGCCTGAGCTCAAGGAATCCTCTTCAGCATTTTTTGATTCTGGGTACTCCCTTTTTTTGTATCTTTACTACTCTTACCAGCCTTTGACCTGATCATCCTGACCCCACACAGTAAACATGGGATCTTCTGTAGACCCACAGACAGAGCTAACTGAGATGCACCTCTGCCTGCGCTGGCTTCCGCTGTACACACCCATACCCTATTGCCTGCTGAGTGGTGGCTCCTTACAGTAGGCTGGAAGCCTGCCGCTCCCTGCTTCCTGCTTATTTTTCCAATTTCAAGTCTTACTAATTCCTGCCTTCTTCTTTTCTGTTTCAGCAGAACTGAGCCCTTGCAGCCCCACTGCGCCAGCGATTATGTTTCTGCCTCTGTATCGGTGCCTTGTACTTCCTCCTTGTCCCTTCTCCTAGATTATTTTCTACTCATCTTTTAAACCTCAGTGCTTGTTGCTTTCACCAGGAAGACATTTCCGACGCCTCTAACTTGGGCTGACACAGTCCTTAGCCACATTTCCATCCTTACTTAGCACAGAGCACTTATAACCATCTGCTAACACATTTGCCTCCACAGCTAGGCCAGGAGTTCCTTGAGGGTAGGGGTCATGCTCTATCTGTGTTTGGCTATAATGTTTGTTGAATGAATGAGCAGGGGAGGTGCACACTTTGTCCTAGTTTTCCTTGACAAAGGAGCATCATTTCCTTTTAAGTATGAAAAAAAAATGAGCAAGTGACCATGGTTTTAGGAATGTTTTTAAGTACAGCTAAGAGAATGCAAGAGAGAACTTAAGTTCTCTTATTATTCACCAAACATTAAGCACCTTCCTTCTATCAGGTACTATTGTAAGAGCTAAGGATAGATTGAGTTTTCATCCTCATGTAGGGAAGCAGAAAATAGCCAAATAAAGCAAAAAGAAATTAAGAAAAGAAGAAAATTTCAGGGAATGTTCAAAGTTATGATGAAAACAAAACAATGTTATGGTAGGGAGTGTACGAGCGGCTGCCTTCGATTAGCAGTAGCGAAGGCCAGCGAAGATGATGTTTACCTGGAGACCAGTGTGATGTGAGAAGGACTCAGCCTCCGGAAGCCTGGGGAGAGAGGTCCACGCAGAGGGTA